ACCATATATTCTTCCTCTTTTCTCGGTCGTTTTAGTTTTTTGTTGGGTTGACACTCTAATGGCTTCGTGGAGCAGTAAGTAGTTAGAGCAAACCATAAGATCACATCATATTATTCCAGCTTTCCTCCTCCTTTCTCTCGTCCTCATCGAGAGAGAAAGTCCTCCTCGTACTTATCTCACTTAGACCCCAACATGCACCGAGTTTGAACTATGTGCTGCTGCTCCTGGAACCACTCAAGGTACGAGTGATGGCATACTTAAGTCTACCAATTGAGAATAAAAGTGCCTATCAAAGAAATCACGACACATAAAATTGCGTGCAATGAAATGAACAACGTACAATGCATTCAAGATTCAATACAGGGAAGAAATCGCGAGTGCCAATAAACCATAAAGAGAGAGAGAGAACAAGCAAGTGGAAATCCGACCCAACCAACCACGCTGGTTCCCATGCAGGCCCACGAAGAGGAGGAGGAGAAGGAGAAAGCCCGTGTACTACATACACTGTCTGTTTCACTTACTATACAAAATTCACTCCACTTTCAATTGACGATCCCCACCATGAAAACGGGGCCTTTAAATTCCTAATGTTTTCTGGAAGGAAGACGACGATCAGACCATTTGATCTATGGATGTGAAATACAGAGAGACATGCGGACACGCAAAACACCGCAATACAAAATACACTATCCAGCCAGATTCAGATGTAGGATTGGGATGGGATGGCAGTTTTAGGTGGTTGGAATTTAAGCGATGTAGCGACATGACATGATGCGAAAAGTCGTTACAGTTTCCCCAACCAACACGCTGTTTTATGTAGTTTTCTCCTCACCACGGTGGAAATAGGAAGGGCGGTTGAGAGAGAGAGAGGTAGACGAAATTATGATTTACTCCCAAAGAAGATTAGATTTCCTGATGACAAGTAGAAAATCTTGTCTCGCTCTCTGCTTTCCCAACAAGCAAGCTCACAGGTCTCTCGCATTATTATTATACCCTCCACTGCATATGAGCACCCACCACCTAAGGCCGGGTTATGTCCTATCCGCGTAATATGGTCGATGGGATGTGGAAGTAAGCCCATCAATCAATATGCAATGCGATTCTGATGCCAAAGCGTCATAACTATTGCAAACATACATCATGGATCGAGATCTTTTTCTCTAGCAGCAGAAGCAAAGAGTAAATCGTGTTAGAGGAGGAAAACTCCATTCCACACACACACACCTCCGTCCATGTGTTTCTCTTTCGAAAGGCCTGTGAGAACACACACTTTCACCAGGAGGGGCAACACGGGAGAGAGTTTTATTCGATTTGGAGGAAATTATTTTTAAGCTACAATGTTGTTTTTAAATTTTCCCTGTTTTCACGCCCCTCTTCCTCCACCTACTCCTCCTCCTCCCAACGAGGAGAGGAAGTCGCTCGTGGTGAAGGAAAACATTCCGGATGCGTTGTGATGACTTTTCTGTGGATTGATCCGTGTGAAATAAAACGAACCAAATTGAAATTCCGATAATATGTAGAGGTCACGTTGGAAGTGGGAAGATGAATTTTTTGGGGAATCGATTGAGAAAGCAAGTGTGAAAGATTTGCTGCTTCTGCCTCTTCTCGTCTGCTCCTGATCCTGCTGCTGCTGGTGGAGGAAGATGATGACGAGGACGACGAAGACGAAGAAGAAGAAGAAGCACAGTTGTTGCTTTCTGGGTATTCTTTGTGTTTGAGTTTGGTTGCTTTTTCCGTCTGCAGATTTCTTCACACCAAGGAGCCATCCGAGCGAACAAATAAGTAAGTGGCCAGAGTAAAATAAATGGGATGGCGGTGGTGGTGAGGTATAAGGGAAGGCAAGGGTTAGCTAGTTGTTGGTTTTGGTGAGACTCTCGTCCTCGTCTTCTTCTTTTTTGGTGAGACAACAGGAGAGAGAGTGAGAGAGAGACCGAGGAGGAGAGATATTGAGTGGTTTCTGGTCGTAACCGTCTCTCCCCCCACTCTACGGTCCCACTGAAAACATGGAGGTAATGTCCTCTTTAATGGACTTCATTGACTGAAATAGAAGATATATCTTCCCCTGCTCAACCTCAAGATTAGTGTTAAGGGCCACATCCAACAATATTGTTCCAGGAGAGAGAGATCCTGCTACACTCAACATGACTCTCCAGCCAGGAGAGCCCCCCTCCTTCTCGCCCTCCTTCCGTAAAAATAACAAGAAGAACTCTGCCAGTCTAACCAAACTGCTGACAAAATCACTCCTCGTTTCGAATTCTAAATTACAACATAAAACTTGGTCTTGCTTTCTCGGAAGGAGAAAACCGGGAAAAGTAGATACAGAGGAAGAAATAACGTTAGAGACTTGCTCACAACTCAGTCAATCACAAGATACCCCACGCCACACACGTACAATTACATTGGCCAAGTGTCCTGGACTTTCACTACTACTTTCTCTCCCTCTCTCTCTGCCAAAGCTTGTCATACGTACGTATGCCCACACCACCACTTTTCAATACCTCTCAAAAATCAGACACACTTGCGAGAAACTCAGAAGAAGAAGAGATGCTGACCGAGGAAGAATGTCCAAATCCCAGTGCACCATGCATGCACTGAACAATAATGCACCTGGTGAATCCCCGTCAGCATGAGGGACAAGGAGTGAAACATCCATCGACATTCCTCACTCGTCCTGTTTGTTGTGGTCCGTCTTGCTCCATGCATCCAAAGCTATCACTCAAAATTTTCTTGTTAACTTTCTCCAAGTGACATGTGTACAGGAAGCAGGGAGGAAAAGCCAGGCATGGAGTGAGTGCGTGAGGAAATGCCTTATCCCCTCCTGCATTGAATCGCTTTATTGCCAAAATTGAAAATGTACTATTTGCAAACATTTTCTCATTTTCGCTTCTCCAGTCACCACTCGGCTGGATTGCAGTATAACTCATGTCCATCCATGTGGGCGTAACATGGCATTATTACATAGGCGACTAAGACTAAGGCATGCACAGCGATTTAAAACTATGTCCCCTGCAACTCATATTCATATTCATGTCTCCATTTTCCTCAGGGTATGAATATTTATCAGACTAGCTGTCGGTCGGATTTTGACTTTTTGCTCGCATTCTTCGATCCAAGCATTCGTATACGGGCATCAGGGTCGAGCGAGTGGACAATTCGTCTCCATCCATGGGAAATATCCCACTCTTTTTCATCATCCTCATTAAAACACCAAAACAATGGTGCCTCAAGGCTCTCTCTGGACGGACTAATTTAGCCTGATAAAAAAGGGCCGACCACTTTCTCATCCGGTCGACTTTCACTCGCCGATGCCCTTCATGCACAGGTTACTTACCAGCCTCGCAGGGAGACCGGACTCGTGCCATCCTTCCCCATCCAGTAGGACCACAAGATCTCTAAATGATCCTCCCCACCACCAAGTTAGGTCACATTTTCATCAGTTTTGTTTAGTTTGTTGTCGCTCTGGGACGACTCTTGGAGAAGCAAGAGTAGCAGAAAGGGTATGTTTGTATGCATGTAGAGCTATGTATATGTAGCTACAAACAGGAAACGCTTGGAGAGCAAATTGATTATAAAAGACGGGAGTAGCCCAAAGACAGGAAATATTCATCTCCTCTCCATTCTTCTTTCCCCACCGTCATCGTCGTCGTAGTCGTCGTTCCGCTGGCTCTTTCTCTTCTGCGAGGAGGAAAAAAAACTGGAAAGCAATGGAAAGAATAAGCAGCTGGGTGCATTTATGGAGAATGAAGTGCTCCTCTTTCAAATATCTACATATCTGCACGAAAGAGACAGTGGTAGCACAAACAGAAGAGAGGCAGCGGTGGTGGTGGTAGGAGTACAGATCTAGTCAGTTATCCATTACTTATATCTTTCTCCGTAGCCACTCACTCACCCGACTCCATCCATAGAAGCCCACCACTGCCAGCAGAACTAAGCAGGAGCACTCTCGTGTCTATCTATCCATCTTCCCTGCAGAATCAAAGAGTCAGCCACGACCAGGCCACACCCAACCAACACACCCTCCTCCGTATCTATTCACACATTCGAACAATGGTAATAATAATATTTTTACATGCATTCATCGCCAGCAGCATCGTCATCCGAGCAGATTCTCCCCCTGCACTTTCACCTCTGGAACCACAAGTGTGCAAACAGGAGGACCCTCATCGTCCTCGAGCTCCTCTCGCTGGCTGTGTCAAGAGTCAAGCTAAACTATCCAGTCAAGGAGGAGAGGACGAGGACAGTGGGGAGAATCGTGCATGGGGTTGAACCATTTGAGCCATAGTTTCAATTCACGACGACCACCACCACCACGACCACTCTGCCTATTTCCGTTCCTTTTGTTGGGCTACGCTTCTCTCTCCGAATTAGAGAAACTGAGCTGGAGGAGTAGAAGAAGTAGACCACGAGGATTTTTGCAGCAAAGTTGTGGTGCTGTATTGCGGGCTTGACAGAGAGAATTAATGGTATGCTTTCTCCATCAGTGGTGGAGTGGTCCTAACTGCAGGCACACAACTGTTTAGTCTTCAGACATAATACTAACCTTTTCGAAATGTCCAATAAATTGACCCGAACCAATTGTACGTCATTCTGCCGATGAACTTGCTGAACTTTCTCTCAAAGAATGAATCCATAAAAGTGGACCGTACCATGATCATCCCAAAGCCCTTCTCATTAGACGACCAGAGGCAGCGTGTCGAACTGGAGGACAGACTTGCAACGAGGCTAGACTTGTCCCCATCATCACAGAAGCTTGGGTGAACCCCGTGTGTGGAGGCATCATACATACGAATGAAAAACCGGTGGCGGTGGTGGTGGTGGAGTGAAAGCAGGCAAGGTTGGCATTGCATTATGGTTTATACTCAGTCAGCCAGCTGAGTTTTGGTGGATCAGGGCGTCGTGCGCAGGTAGCAGTGCTGAAGTTCCCAAGGATTTCTCCCTTTTTGCCCGAAATGTATGGGCTGGTTGGTGGTTTGTCTCTATAAATATCGTGCCTGGCTTCAGTCGGGCCTCACTTTGTTTGTAGGAGAGAGTCCGTCCTCCAGATTTCCTCCGCCAAGAGAAGAAGAAGAAGCACAAGACTTATTCAAATCCTCTTTGCTGCCAAGAGATCCCATCATCGTTTCTGCCCTGCTCCTTGATCTCCGCTTCAGTGAGAGCAGTGATTTCTGCCCCAACCAAGCACACAACATGTTTATAATACAAATCACTCTTCACGACTTTGCCTCAGTTACTCAGCTGCATTCTCAAGACACGGCTCTCTCCCTTTTGCCAAGGAAGCGACGTCCACTTGCCAAAACGGAGCGGTAGTGATCTTATACACCAGACACTTATTTGCCCCATAGTTTTTGGTGCATGGGATTGAACTCCTCGGTGTGTTTGCATTGCATACTACTTCATAATAATACAAGTTTGGTGCAGCAGTAGCAGAGTCGATAGGAACCACCAAGAACTCATTTCCCATTCATCCGCATCCCACCCAGACAAGGAGAAAGCAACGGGGAAAGTTGAGTTTGCTCCTGGTGAGATTTTGTGTGGACTGAAAACAGCAGCAGCATTGTCTCATTCTCATCTCGCCTGAATAATGTGGTAAACCGTGACGGGAAAGCTGTGCAGCACTCTCTCGTGCTACCTCCGTTGTTCCAATCGACAACAAACGCAGCAGACACATTGTTTCATTCATCATGAATTTTAAGCAGAAGCAGCAAGAGAAAGTGCTTCTGGGTAGTATTTAGTTGTGGCTGCTCATAAACAAGTAGGGAGTGGATTCGCCATAATTTTGTGTCACGTGTACGAGCCAAATGCTTTTCTGACAACGTGTATTATGACACTTTCAAAATAAACTCACCCGTGAGAATCGTCCCCGCTTGACCACGTCTACTTTCTCCGGTTACAAAACAACACCATCACATCCACCACCACCACCGCCACTTTGGACTCTTGGAGTTGGGTGAGTTTCCCTAATTGCTTTGCTAATTGTTTGGTATTGTTGCGGAAGTTGGACGGGGATTTATGTGCGGCGGCATGTTCCTGCCAATGTGATTCATGTCTCGGTGTCAATAGCTGGTTGTGGTGATGGTGATGGTGGTTAGTGGCACAATGGTCTTTTGCTACCTGACCCCAACACATAGCAGACCACACACATTTCCTCTCTATGAAAACCTCTCTGTGTGAAAGGAAAAATACTTGAGAGTGTGATTGTACGAGTACAATCGTCAGTGTTCTCTCTCCACCCAGCCAGAAAATAATAGCGTAATGGCAGTGAGCATATCACATATACTTTCCCCGCCTGGTTAGGTGGGTGGGTTACGTTTAGGAAATTTCTGAGCATGAGGATTTATATTTTGGGATCTATATGTGTTTCCCGATAAGACGGAACTCTCTCTCCTGTGGGAATGATAAAGGGTGATGTGTGGATATGGAAACTTTGAGTAATGCAGCGCCGAGGATTTAAAATGTGGAGCACGGGCCCTATGATTATTTAGTGCATTAGACAAATAAGTAAGCAAGCGTCGTGCTTGTTGTGTGGTTGGTTTTGCATATATGTGGACGCACGTGATGGGATGTGATACTGTCTGCCATCCTGGAAAAGGAGCTTAATCACGCAACATGAAAGGATAAAACCCTTGTGCTTTCAAATTAACCGTGATGCGAGTTCATGTTCACCTAATGTGCGGGCATATTCAGAAGACTGAGTCTTCTCTTGTTGGTGGAAAAAGAAGCAACTGCCGCATGCATGGACTTCCTGAATGTCCTTCACAACGCATACGTACCTTGCACACTGAACTGGATCTAATATCTTTATTATCTGTCCCGTCCTGCTAAGCCCCCGGTAAATATCCTCTAATCCAAAAACAACCACCACAATGAGGATGAGTCCAAATTATGCCTGCTTTACCAAATGGAGGAGCAGTAAACCAGCCGCAGCTCCCTCTCTCTCCTTCCGTCTACGGTTATGTCCTTTGTTGACCAACCGTAAAATTCACTGAAATGGAGATGTATTAGCTTTCCCCTTGGAATTGTACAACAGAATTACGTGCCCGGATAGATAGACGACGACGCAGAGGAGAAGAAATATTCTACATATCATTTAGCAGCCACAATGCACACATAACATAATATATATAATAATACGGAGAAAGCACATATGTACCCATAGCACAGGAGCACTTTCTTCCTCCTCCTCCTTCGGAGAGAATCTACTTGCCCAACATGTTTGCAACATTGTCGTCAACTCAGTCATAAAAAAATTCCACTCGTGCTTTATGAAGTAATTCATTTTCATTCAGGAGAACCGTGACGGTGGTGGTGGTTGGTGTGAGGCTGTGTTCTTCACCTCTCGTGCTCTCACTCTCACTCTCTCCTAATTCACAATTCATATTTTCCAAGAGAAATTGTTCTCCAAGGAAGAAACCGAAGTGGATGGGAGCTAGCTCGTGTTGGCTCCTGATCAATGCATATCATCATAACGTATAGCAGCCAACCTCTCGTCCGTGATGATGCCAACTATGCCACGAGAGAGAGAACCCTTTCTTCTGCCTGATTCCCATTGCCAGCAGAGAAGAATAATAGAATTGAGATTTTATTTGCCACTCGACTTTTCCAATGGGAAAAATGCTCCTGATTCGAATAGTCGTGGGTGGCAATGAATTTTAACGTGCCTCACATAACAACGAACTCCAAGACAAATAAACCGAATCGAGTCTATAACGGTATTGGTTTCGCTCGTCGTTTTGTTTATCTTCCGCCTTTGTGTTGTCCCTCATGCATGAAGTCGACCGACCGACCGACCCGCACCACGAAACGGAATGCATGCATGGAGAGTACAAGTCTTATATAATACATACATTCTCCTACATGCATGCAACGTGTATGTCGTGGTGGCTTGCATGTTGTGGTGGTCGGTATCGGTGGTCGGTATCGGTGGTGGTGGTGGTGGGCAGAACTGAGAGAAAGGCAGATGATAGACTTGATCTTGTATAAATGACTCCATTGACGTGATAATGGTTCTTAAGACCCTCGCGTTTGGAGGACTGTGTCGCCGCCGGAGAAAGCAAATTTTACGGTTATTAGGCTTTTGATTTTATCGCTAGAAAAATGCAACCTCATGGCTATTGGTGAAGAATTCCTAAGAAGTTAGTAAATTACATTCCTCGTTCTCCACTTTCTCCTCTGTGCCACGTTCGTTCTCCTCCGACCGAATCGCTTATATACGAATCAATTGTTACTGTTTTCCTGGGGTGCGTGAGTATATTTATATTCGGAGGAATCATCGGGATGAGGAGGATGGAAAAGAGTAAATTATCCGCGGTCGTGGTGGAAGGGGATTCATTGCAGGGAAGGAAGAATGGATGACTCGTGGACTCTTCTTTTTGGCCTAAAATACGAGAAAGTAGTGGTGCTTGGGGTAGAGACTAATAAGACTCATTTCGTTTGAAAGGATTCCCCACTCTTGAATAGATTATGGTTATTATTGGATGTAGATAGAGTTGTTGCAGCCAACTGGGGATCCCTAACTCGCTCCCTTTGTTCTCCTTTATTACAGTCTCACTCTCTTCATCACCTCCCATCCATCTCCACTCAATGAGATTCACACCACGCTGCATAACACTCTCTCTCGATACTCGAGATCCACACAACACACAGCTCGAGATAGAGTTCACACACCCACCAGGAGCCGGTACATGCATCGTAGCGGCAGAGTGGCAACGGGGAGTTGTTGGTTGGTGCAACGGAGGGAAAGTGGCAGAGAAAGCCACCACGACCATTCCAACAACTCATGTGGCTGACAAAGGCAGACCCAATAAGGTTCTCTTTCTTATGGGGCGTTTCGAGCCGGCGAACGAAATGTGCTGAAGGCTTACCATTTCCCTACAGTGCGACTCTCTCTTTCTCTCTCAGCCATTCAACCACAACGAGTCGTGGTAGCAAATAAGTTAGATATGCGAAGAGGTGGAAGTGTATTTCCTTGCATGCATGCCTCCCAAAATGCAGCCCATTCGCTCACCCACCACCATAAATATTTTGAATGAAAGAATATTTTGACAGGCTCAATTGTTGTAGCTCGCAGTGGGGCATGTCTTTTAAGATTTTGCGATAAAAACGAACGCGTATTGTATCAAGGGGTCGTCGTCGTCGTCGCCAGCATTCATCGGGATTAATGTTACATTCTAATTTAGCCAAGCGTTAAGAGAGACACGACAAAGTTTGCTTGTGGCGACGATCGGTGGATGATGATGCGGAGCACATGGCGTGAAGAAGGGAGGGTGGCAATATGCACATACATTCATGAAGAGCCGGGCGGCGGCAGCGGTTGTGTGTGTATGCCGTTGGTTGACGGAAGGAAGTAGTGCGAAGAAGATAAGTGTAAACATTTGAGGGGCGCGTTGTGTACATTTGCAGTTTAGACTTTGAAGAGTGAGGACAGCACGAGGATAGCGAGTGGATGGAGCTCTAAGTGACTGCTGAGCTCGCTGGGAGTAGAGAGTGAAAATTCGTAAAAAGTAGTAGTGTGATGAATGGTGATGCCCATAATGAGACGATGTGAGAAAGGGATTCTTTGGGGAGAGACATTTCTGCCTTGAGACAAAAGAAAAGCATTTGCAATGCAGATGAAGACAGAGTACTCGAGATATATGAAAAAAACTCCAATGTGCAAATTGAATCATAAATTCTGCCTCTACTCTCGCACTCTCTGTTGCATTCGCTCTCTTTCTCCGACTTTCTCTCTACACACACAATCCTCTCCCGCGATATCCACAGACCCCCTCCGCGTTCCATCCAAATCTTGAAACTTAAATCCTCGGCACACCTCCCAACCCAAATTCCCACTCTTCCTCCTATTCTCCCATTGTTTTCATACCCGCTTCCGAGAGAGAGCATCCGTATTTTATGTGGTCGCATTGTTTCCTCTCTCCGTCTGTCTCTCTAATTTCTACGCTTTAAATTCCACTAATTTTAAAACACAATGTGGACCAAGATTCATATTTATTCTTCCGACTTTAACAAGATTCTTAGAAACTGGAGGTCTTTTTTCCATGTCGGATGTTAAAAGGTGAGAGGAAAGAGGAGGCGGAAGAGAAAAAAGAGATTCTCCATTTACTTAATTCCATTAGTCAGAGATAACATTATTTTACTTTATGACGTTCTGACAAAGTGGTTTGTCACATTTTATTGAAACACAAACACGTCACTGTTAACCCTGCCGGTAAAAGACTTCCACTTTGACAAGTTTGCATCGACACATTAAAATATTGGTTTCCTCGAGTCTTCTTTTATTTCGGGAATGGATGCCCCATCCATTTTCTCTCCTTTCATATCACATAATGGTGGATGTCGCAAGATTACGGAGAAAAGTAGGATGGCACAACTTACCTTATTCAGTCTAAAAGGAAAAAAAGCCAAGGAGAGAGAGAGAGAGAATGAAAATAGGGCAGAGTTACATATTTAGAAGACGACGACGACAGTGTACAGGCAGGTATTATTATTGTCAAAGGTATGCAATGGAATACAACAACAGGACCAACAAACCTGGAGGAGAAGGAAAAGCAGGCTCAATGTATTTTTTAAATATTCCTTTTCCCCCAAAAGAATTACATGGAGAACAAAAGTGACAAAAATTTGGCTTTCAACAGCATTTCATAACTTACTCTCGAGTCAGTCTATATACCTGAAGGGAGAGAAGATGAAGACGAAGAATGAGACGGGGACAAATATACTGCCACCAAAAATGTAATGCATATATATCACCGTCGTGCAGAGACACTCATCTTGCTCCTTTTTTGCCATGAGCCACCACCATCGCCCTTCGTTTACCTACTTGCTTTCTAGCGGAAGCAGTGTTAACGAGCTTTTTTACTCTGCTGCACTGATTCAATCTCTGAATCTCAGCTACTTGGTCTCCCCATTATCATTACACTGCCGCCGCCACCGCCGCCAAGCACACCCTCC